TGCATCCCGGCTCCCGGTCTGCACATCGGTGACCAGGCTCCGCGGGCCGGTCTCCCAGGCCTGGGCAGGGCCTGCAGCACTCAATCCGAGGACGCTGTCCAGGCGGCCTGTGTCCAGGAGAGAGCAGTCAGGGCGGCCTGCAGCACCTCCGCCTTCTGGCTGGACCAAAGCTCAGTCCATGGCTTTCCTGGGTTCAGGCTCGCTGGTCCCTGCCGTGGCCTCAGCCCGCAAGCCACAGAAGCCCCGTGACCCCGTGCCTCACTTTTCTCAGATGTAAACCAAGGATGAGCGTCCTTTTGATCTGAGAGTTGGGGGCAGGTGGAGAGAACTGTGCATTTTCGGGGGGAGGGGGGAGGTTGTGCATTTTCTGTCCAATTCAGCTCCTGCATTTACTCTCAGGCTTTTCACGGGGTCCTGGAGCGGCAGAGGGTGACGCGCAGTGACCTGGAGGAAGAGGAGAACTTCAGGGCCACCGAGGCCACGGCGGCGCTCTGCCAGGTACGTGGCCCCCAGGCGGGGCGGGCTGAGAGCCCTCAGGACCTGGGTGTGCGTGAGGACCGCACATCCTCCTGGGCCCCGGCCCAAAGGCCGAAGTGACTCCCCTTGCTTTCCGAGGCCCCAGCAGACAGTGGCCTGCAGGGGGCAGCGCTGGGAGCAGGGAGACGGGGAGGCATCGTGGAGAGAGAGCTGGGGCCGGGTCTGTTTTGGTGGCCAGCGGCTCAGTCTCCTCCGTGAAGATGGGGTAGTGAGCTTTCTTCACAGGACTGTCCGGCGGTTTAAGTAAGCTTCCACAGGCCGAGCACAGAGGTGCTATGGGCACAGAGCGAGCATCATACAGTGTTATAAGTGTTCTCGTCCTCTCTGTCTAGGAGGGTGCGTGTGTATGGGAGGGTGCGTGTGTACGGGAGAGCTCACAAGGTACCTCGTCCTGCAGCCTGGCAGGCTCTTTCCCAGACCTTTTCTTTGGGTGAGGCACCCACCATGATATGGTGGGCACGGGGCTGTGAGAGAGGCACCATCGTGGTCTGGTGGGCACGGGGCTGTGAGAGAGGCACCATCCCGCCTCGCGTTCTCAGGCTGCAGAGAGCAGCATTTTTCTAAATGCCCGCTGTCTCCTGACCTGAAAACAAACAGTAAGGTCCCAGCTTGGCTGACGCGGACGCCGCTAAATCCCAGGTCGCGCAGCTCATAGAGGGCCTCTGAGCCCAGCCCAGCGCCGCCCGGCCCTTGGGGACAGGCGCAGAGCCGAGAGCCACGCGGGCCGGCTTGCTGCCCGTCGAAAGGCTGTGGGGAGCGTGGTGAAACGGACCCGCCAACTCCGGCCCCGCGGCCCCGGTTCTCACCAGGAGTCGGGCCGACAATGAGAGAAATGAACCGTCCTCAGAGAACACAGAGACAGCAGACACGGGGGATGTGCCCCCGCCCACCGAAGCGTCTCAGGTTCGATTCTCGGTCAAGGGCACGTACACGGGTTGCAGGGTCACTGCCCGCCCCCGGTTGGGCACATGTGGAGGTAACCAGTTGAGTCTCACATTGATGTTTCTCTCTCTCCCCCTACCCCCTCCCTCCCTCCCTTCCACTCCTTCCGAAAAGCAATGGAAAAACTATGCTCAGGTGAGGATGAAACAAAAACATAGTCCCCACAAGATGCCTCACTGACACCAAACGCAGGTCCCCTTCAGTTCTCTAGAGCAGCGGGCGCCCGCCCGTGGTCCCTGAGTCCGAAAGGGTGGCGCCCGCTGCTCTAAAGGACTCGCTGCAGCTGTTTCCACGTGGGTGGTTGCAACGGGAGCTACAGACCCAGGTCAGCCAGAGGTCCCAGGCAGAGGCCTCCAGCGTCCTCTCGGGGCGTGGGCAGCACTGGCCTCCTGACAGCGCTGTGACATCACACACCGGCCACTGCCCACACGGAGGCTCCCCGAGCTCGGCTTCCAGTTTTATTGGGACGCAGTCACACAGACGTGGGTGGCCGCCAGTGTGGCCGGCCTTAACCCCCGGCCCTCTGCGGGAAGAGCTGATAGCAGGCAGCCCGAGGCCCCACCCTGATCACATCACTGTCACAGGCTCCCTGACGGGGCCCAGGCTCCCCCATAACCTGAGACCCTCGTATCCGTATCCGGGAGGACATTCCAAGAACGGGGAGGTCCCCTCGCAGGAACCGGGCAAATAGGCCTCTCTCTCAACAAGGTCGGTTCTTGGCGGCCCAGCGGTGAAAGGGTAAGATGTTTTGTTTTAGGAAACTCAGCTGGGAGCCTGGGCTTCAGGCCTGGGGCTCATAGCATTCAAGGAGGAGGGAGAAGCGGCCTGGTGAGCAAGAGAAGGGAGAGGCGGTCAGGCAAAACGGATGAATAAACGCACGAGGGAATCGAGGAACGAGCGCGCAACTGAAATTCTGGCATTCTGCAGTAGGTGTGGTCGTGTCCGATGAGAAATTAACACAAATTCTCAACAAATTAACACAAGCTCAGTGGCTAAAGACAACGCGGTTATTACCTTACAGTCCTGGAGGTCGGACGTCCGAGGGGGCGTCACTGGCCAAAAGGAAGGTGCCCGTGGGCTGGGTTCCTGCTGGAGGCCCCGAGGGAGAATCCGTTCCCTTGACTTTCCCGGCTGCTGAGGGCGCCCACATCCCTGGGCTCGTGGCCCCTCCTCCGTGCCAGGGCCAGAGACCTGGCGCTCCCGCCTGTTCCCACCATCCCATCTCCGCTCACCCTGACTTCCTGCCTCCCTCTCACCTGGACGGGCCCTTGTGCTTACACTGGACTCACCTGGGTCTCTTCCCATCTCAGTCCCTAACGAGTGTCTGCAGAATCTCTTGGACCCTGGAAGGTGGCATATTCCAGGGGCTCGGACATGGGCGACTTGGGGAGGTATTATTTTGCCTAACGCAGACAGGAAGCACTAACTTTCCAAAGAGTAAAAGAAATTGGGTTTGGGGGAAATGCCAGAGCAATGGTTTCCTGGGCCGTAGTCTATCTGAGGTAGGTCTGGAGGAGCCAACGGTAGACGCGTGGCCCCCTGTGGTCCATGTCCCTGGAAGGAGGTAGGGCGTGAGTCAGTTTGCCTGGTCCTTCAGCAAGGTTAAGGGTGACAGGTCGTCTCCAAGGGCGCAGCGTCTGAGAAATACAGACTGGCACGTACAGGTCTACCGCCGTGGCAGCCGGCGAAGGGAACCCCCGTGGCTCTTCGTTGTGACTTAAAGCCACGGAGCCGTTAATTTGTTTTCTTTATTTGAGAAGTAAGACTCGCCAGTGCCTTCAGGGCCCTGCATGCTAAGTGGTTATAGCCCCTCCTCCCTTTTAGTCATTTTCCCAAGCAGCTGACCTCCCTGCAAAGAGGCGCAAATTTGCAAAGTAGAGAAGAGTCGCTTGGGAAGCAGACGGAGCAGAGCAGTGTGGCCGTTCCTGGCTGTGTACCCTCCGTGCGGCCCTGTCCTTATTGCCCGACCTCTCTCACCCAGGAACTCTTAGCTGCCCTCCGTGTAGACTGAGCACATGAATGAACTCACTTAGCACCCAAAATGCCACCCGTAGCCCCCAGGCTGAGCTAACACCCCTCGCCTGGTCCGTGATGACCACCCAGGCTGGTCTGTGATGCTCCCATATGGCCTGACCCACGAGACCCACCCCGTCTGACCCAGAGACCTGCCCAGCCTGGCCCGTAAGCTCCCCTGTTGTGGCCCACCAGGCCCACATGACCTGGCCCACCCACCACGTATCTGGGGTCACGTCCCTGGCTTGTTTCCTTCCAGGCATCCCTCTGTTCCGCCGAGATGCCCATCCCTCCTGCCCCAGTGCCTTTGCGTGTGCTTTCTCACTGCCTGAAACTCGGTCCCCTCCCTTCCCTCCGTTTTGCTTGTTCTCATTCTTGTCTCAGTTAAACGTCACTTCCTCAGACCAGATTCCCTGGTGTGTCCCTAGGGCTGCCACCCTCCCGGCCATCGCACTTGTCATAGTGACCCCGGTCCCCCGCTGGGCTGTGCACTCCCTGAGGTCCGGGTCCACGTCTGCCTGTCACTGCCATGTCCCTGGCACGGAGCCCATAGCAAGGGCTCGAGAGACGTTTGCAGAGTGAGCCTCTGAGCTGTGAGCATAAGCCACCTTTGTCCCTCGGCTGTGAGGGCCTCGCCCCTGCTGTGGTGGAGGTCACGTAACCATGACCACGTAATGTCGTGCAGCGAGATGCCTTGGAACCCAGAGCTGGAAGCGACAGTGACCTGTGTTCGCGGTCTGCCCTGGCCGGAGGCGGCCGACCTGGGCCAGGCTTGATGGACACAGCGTGCTCCACCTGCCTCATGTCCTCCCGAGGCCGTGGGCTGCCCGGGATGTCTCCCACTGCAGAGGTGGAGGTCTGGCCTGCACTCTAGCCCACGGCACACCACCTCATTTGATTGGCTGACACAGGTCACATGACTGGCCCCAACCCCATAGGACAGGAGGGTCCTCCCCTCTCTCGGGGCAGAAAGCCGGCCCTGTGCCAGGTGCTGTGTGTCATCATCGCAGTCGGCCCCCAAAGCAGGTGCTGTCCTCACAGTCCTCCGCAGGCGCAGGTGCGAGCACTCCCCCCGCCCCAGCATTGCTCCCGAGGCGCCAGGCTGCAGAGGGGACACGGACACGAGTGAAGGCCCAAAGTCAGGGAATTCCTGCCCTCGCCTGGCTCCCTGGGCCTCTGTCTGAGGGAGAGTGCAGAGCTGAGGCCTGGGGCCGGCCTCTCTCCCCACCAGGCAGCCTCCCCTCAGCCCGCCCGCCGGCTGCCCTGACCCACACACGCACAGAGGAGCACCATGAGTCAGTTCGGTTCTGTTCCAGGCGCAGCATAGATCAGTGTCTCCCAGATGAAACGGCGTGAAGGGGTCACGGGGGTGTGGGCTGTCGGAGCCGGTGACGGGGGCGGAGGAAGTGACCACAGGAGCAGGCAGGACCCAGCGCGGTCTCCTTAGAAAGGGCCTGGGCTCGCGGACCGTGGCGCTTTGACAGTTCGCCTTTTCTTGAGTTTTAAACAGCATATTTCTGTGGCTTGACAGTCACGAAGGAGAAAGAGAAAGGTGTGTCCCAGCCACTGCTGTGCGATAACGGTGTCCAAGGCAGGAGGACCGATTTAAAAACCTGTCTCCCGGCAGAGGCTGGAGGGACATGTAAACCCGTCCCATGGTTTCAACCCTTCTTCGCTGTGAATTGAAACACCCATAAGTACGTGGGCAGCACAGACGTGTGGACTAGCAGATGGTTATTAAAAACCATCTCTGTAACCATCACCCAGATGAAGAAAGATCGTGGCAAGGACCCTGGAAGCCCCCTCACACCCCCTCAATCCCAGGATCCTCCTTGTTCACAGGACCCATATCTGGCTTATTTGATGAACATCAGGTCCTTGCTTTTCTATAAACTAGAGGCCTGGTGCACCAAATTCATGCAGAGTCGGGCGCCTAGGCCTTGCCTGCCTGCCTCCCTCAGTCTCTCAGTGCCCTGCAGCTGCTGGTTGCCGCCCCCGCCCCCCCGATGTTCCACGCCACCCCCTGGTGGTCAGCACACATCATAGCAAGCAATCGAACTCCTGGTCAAACTCCCGAGTGGAAAATTTGGATGTTAGCCTTTTATATAGAGAGATGGAATCACGTGACACATGCTCTTGTGTGCCAGGCTGCTTTCACTCAGCTTTCTGCTCAGGAGATTCATCCGTGTTGCATGTAGCAGTTCATTCTTCCTCGTTGGTCTTTATTATCCCGTGGTATGAATACATCACCATTTACCTTCTACTGTTGATGGGCATTTGTATGGCTTCTTAGTTTAGACTATTACACTTTCTGCTGATATAAACTTTCCTGTAGTTGTTTGACATGCTTGTACATGCATTTCTCTTGGGCAGAGACCAAGGAGCGGAATTGTTGGGTGAAAGAATATATGTAGCCTGGCTGGAGTGGCTCAGTTGGTTGAGCCTCGTCCTGGGCACCAAAATGTTGCTGGTTTGATTCCTGATCAGGGCACATACCCAGGTTGTGGGTTCTCACATTGATGTCTCTCTCTCTCTGTCTCTCTCTCTCTCTGTCTCTCCCTTTCTCTCTAAGCATGTCCTTGGGTGAGGATTTTTTTAAAAAGAACATATATAGGTTCAATCCATATTCTCCATAGTTATTGATATAGCCACCAATTTGATCAGCATTAGTAATTTATGGATATTTTGGTTAGAATTAACATCTTTACAATGTCAACCTTCCAGTCCAGAAACATGGTATTTCCTTACATTTATTTCAGTCTTATTTAATTCTTTTAATATTATTTTACAGTTTCCACCCTTAGGTATAATTTTGCTATAGTGTTTTAGGTGTTTTTTTTTTCAGATTAAAGAAGTTTCATTTCTGTTTTGCTAAGGGTGTTTCTTATGCATGGAAATTAACTTTTGTAAAATGTTTTTTCCTCATCTAGTCACATAGTCATCACGATATTTTTCTGCTCTACCAGGTATACTGTTAATGTGTCAAATTGCATTGATGCATTCATGTGGGTAATGCCATTAAGTGCATACAAATTTAGATTTTCACATCTTTCTGTTGAGTTAGATCTTTTACCATTATGAAGTAAACCCCTTTATTGCTAGTCACCCTTTTTTTCTTTTCTTAAAGACCATTTTATCTATTAATGTAGCAGAAAGTGACCCTATGTTTACTAGATTCTGGTTATACACTCATTCATTCATTTTCAAAAAAATTTGCTAAGATCCTAGGTGCTAGGGCCTCCTATGTAAACTTGTACAATTTATAGAACCTCCCTTTTACTGTGCAGATGAGGCCTTCGTTTCCTCGGCTGTAAATTTCTTCCATCAGTTTTGGGAAATGTCTAAGCCATCATCACATCAAATATTGCTTCTCCCTGGGCTCTCCCTTCCTTTCTTTGGAGACTCCAATGAAAAATGTTAGATTTTTGCCCTGCCCAGTGTCCTCAGTGGTTAGGGCGTATGCCACGCACTGAATTTTGTAAAATGTTTTTTCCTCATCTACTAGTAGTCACATAGTCACCATGATATTTGTCTGCTCTGTACTGTTCATGTGTCAGATTGCATTGATGCATTGATGTGGGCAATGCCATTAAGTGCATATTCTGGTCAAGAGCATGCACTGGGTTGTGGGTTCACTACCCACCCCTCGTCGGGCATAGGTGGAAGGCAGCCAGTCGATGAGTCTCTCATTGATGTTTATCTCTCTCTCTCTCTCTCTCTCTCCCTTCTACTCGCTCTCTGAAAAGCAATGGGGGAAAAAATCCATGGGTGAGGACAAAATAAAAAATATGTTGGATTTTCTCATTGCATCTTTCGTGCTTTTATCTTCTCCATATTTCCCATCGCTAGTCTCTCCTTACTTTGTTGTGGATTTCCTCCTGATCTCCCTTCCAGCATACTGACTCTCTCTTTAGTTGCTTCTAGCTGCCATTAAGCCTATTCATCACTATCTATACTAATAAAAGGGTAATATGCTAATTCGACCTGATAGACCGGACGTCTTCCAGATGTCATTCCAGACGTCCTTCCTGACAAAGCTGGGGCCCAGCCCACGCGAAGCCACCCGGGGTCCTGGGTGCCTGTGGCCAGCCCAGGCAAAGCCAGCCCAGGTCCTGGGTGCCAGAGGAAAGCCGGTGCTGGCAGCTTTGGGAAGGAAGGCCTACGCTTACACGAATTTTCGTGCAACAGGCCTCTAGTTAGGTTAATAAAATTGGACCAGATTCTTCAATTCTGAAAATCCTAACTGGTTCTTTAGCCCACGCGAAGCCACCCGGGGTCCTGGGTGCCTGTGGCCAGCCCAGGCAAAGCCAGCCCAGGTCCTCGGTGCCAGAGGAAAGCCGGTGCTGGCAGCTTGGGGAAGGAAGGCCTACTCTTACACGAATTTTCGTGCAACGGGCCTCTAGTTAGGTTAATAAAATTGGACCGCATTCTTCAATTCTGAAAATCCTAACTGGTTCTTTTAAACTAAGCAGTGTCACTCCCAGCTCCTTGCTTAATGTGTTAAGCGTGGTCCTGGCCGTCATGAG